CCGCCCCCTTCATCCCCCCGGGGGGGAATGGGCAGGGAGGGGCAAGCAGCATACGCCCCATTCATCCCACCGAGGGGAACGGGCAGGGAGGGGCAAGCAGCGTACGCCCCATTCATCCCACCGAGGGGGAACGGGCAAAGAGAGGCAAGCAGCGTACGCCCCATTCATCCCACCGAGGGGGAACGGGCAAAGAGAGGCAAGCAGCGTACGCCCCATTCATCCCACCGAGGGGGAACGGGCAAAGAGAGGCAAGCAGCGTACGCCCCATTCATCCCACCGAGGGGGAACGGGCAAAGAGAGGCAAGCAGCGTACGCCCCATTCATCCCACCGAGGGGAACGGGCAGGGAGGGGCAAGCAGCGTACGCCCCATTCATCCCACCGAGGGGGAACGGGCAAAGAGAGGCAAGCAGCGTACGCCCCATTCATCCCACCGAGGGGGAACGGGCAAAGAGAGGCAAGCAGCGTACGCCCCATTCATCCCACCGAGGGGGAACGGGCAAAGAGAGGCAAGCAGCGTACGCCCCATTCATCCCACCGAGGGGGAACGGGCAAAGAGAGGCAAGCAGCGTACGCCCCATTCATCCCACCGAGGGGAACGGGCAGGGAGGGGCAAGCAGCGTACGCCCCATTCATCCCACCGAGGGGGAACGGGCAAAGAGAGGCAAGCAGCGTACGCCCCATTCATCCCACCGAGGGGGAACGGGCAAAGAGAGGCAAGCAGCGTACGCCCCATTCATCCCACCGAGGGGGAACGGGCAAAGAGAGGCAAGCAGCGTACGCCCCATTCATCCCACCGAGGGGGAACGGGCAAAGAGAGGCAAGCAGCGTACGCCCCATTCATCCCACCGAGGGGAACGGGCAGGGAGGGGCAAGCAGCGTACGCTCCAGGATCTGACCGGAGGGCTCCTCGGCGTCACAGGGGTTAGTTTTCTGGCTCAGTGGGAGCTTTAACTGCCCCAGCCCTTAGGGTGCTCTCCAGCCAACCCCTCCCCCGCTGCCTTGGACTAGACCTTGCTGTTCACTGGTTACCATTCTCACTGACTGGGCAGAATGGGAGGCAGGCAGCAGATGGGAGCAGCAAACAGTTACAAACCTCAGAAACCAGGTCACCCTCCCTGTGCAGGTCGCAGACACCTGTGGGCCGTGGCCGCCTCCTGGCTTTGTGCGAATTTGGGTGACACATTTTAGTGCGCACTAGAGAGCTGCTAGCCATGTCGCCATGGCGGGAAAGCCTCTGTAGCAATTTGGCTGTGCTATGGTCACAGTGGAGCATGTAATTACTGGCACCACACAGGCGGATAATTATTCGGAGACACTCGATCTAGTACAGGAGACAGACCTGGGACCAGAATGCCAGGAGGGCAGGGCGATTACTGGGAGCTACGGAGATGGCATTAGCTGGGGACGAGGGGTGGGGAGCAAACATCACCACATTCAGCAGCCTGTTGGTGCCACAGAAGGAGCAAACCTTGGCCAGGTAAAACCACAGCTCTTCAGCCAGTGCCAGGCTTGGGGACGAGCTGTCAGCCCTGTCACAGACCTGCTGTATCTGGAGCACTGTCCTGGTGTGAGCCGGGCATGGCAGGGCATAGAGAAACCGTGCCCACCCGACAGGGTCATCCCCCCGCGCCTGCCACGTTCCTGCAGGTGGCGCTGGGGTGTTGGTGCAATTCCAGGCGTGGGTGACATCACGCTGACCATGTTTGTAGGCACAAGTGCAGCCAAGCAGGTGGCGGGAGCTGGCGGGTGAGTGCGTTTGTAGCTAGAGGCACAGACAATGCAGTGAGATGACTCGAGGGGAAGAGGATGGTTACTCTACTGGCAGCCTGCCAACGGCCGTTGGATAGCATGGGTGTGGCTGGGAGCAGGATCTGACCCGGTACATCCAGAGCAGCTGTTCCCGTCGGGGCAGTGAAATCAGTCACATCCCCTGGCTCTGCAGTGCACTGGGGCCTGAGGTCAATAACATCTCTGCTGTGTGCCTGGCCCTGGGGGGTTTCGTGGCTGTGTGGGGGTGGTTCCGTTTGGCTCTTGCTTGCAAACTCTCTCCTCTCACCATGTAGGGCTTGCCAGGTAAACCCAGCTGTGTCTGCCTCTAACCACATCCTCTAGGCCAAGCACACCCATCCGAGGCTCGAAGCTGGCTGAGGGCTCGCTCATCACGGTGCTGAGACAACAGGGCTAAACCACAGCCCACCCCCGTTACTGCTGCTTCCTCTCCGGAGCCAGGTCTCCCCTCTAAGCACTAGAAAGCGTGCTTGGCTCAGCCCTGAGTGAGGCCAGATGCTGGGGTCTGCTCCCAGCGGCCCACGTGGCTCTCAGGAGTTTGAGTAGCACCTCCTGCATTTGTTACTGTCCTGCCACCTTCACGGACCGGGACCATCGGAACTCAACTGGCTTTGGAAAAGAACGGGTTAAACTGAATGGGAGTGAACCCCAGGCTGGTTAACCTGCTCCTGTCCTGTCTTGCAGCCCCCAGCTATTCCAGCCTCACTGGCATCCCACCCTAGACTGGACATTGCACCCCACAGGTTGCTGTCTGCTCCCACCCCGCTGCCTTGCCATGGCCCCTTTGGACACAGCTGCCGGGCGCTGCAGCGGTCAGCTCAGCACCTTTGCAGTCCTGGCTCTTTCCTGCATGGAGTCTCCCGCGCTGGGTCTTGTGGCGGAAGAATGAATGGAAACGTCCTCCAGCGCAGAGCCCTCCCTGTTTATTGGCTCCATAATGCACATTTAAAAAGACTCGCATCATAAATGTTCAGACAGGCCTGGCTCGATACAGACAAACTCGGCATCCCGGTAAGAGGTGCCATGGAACCTGGGCGCAGCCTGAGAGCCAGGGACGGGCAGGAGAGGGAGGGGGCAGCAGGGAGGAGGGTAGGCACGAGGGAGCGAGGGGTCTGAACAGCTCTTCTGAGAAAGCCCTGGCACAGCTACTAGGAAACGCTCCTGTTTCTAGATGTGGTTCTGGAGCAGGCTCTAGAACTGAGACAGGAGCGGGTCCCTGCTCTAGAGCTCGGCAGGCGGAGTAGAAATAAAATCCCGTGGAAAGGGTCACTCGCATTCCCTCGGGCTTGGGCTGATTTTCACAGGGGGATATGGGCTTTGCTGCTCTTCACTTCAGCAGGGCTTCTCCGCAGGGAAAACGCCCTGTGGTTACAGCACAGGCGGTTCGGAGCCCGGGCTCAGTCCCCGTCCAGAAAATGGTGCCAGTCCTCGCTCACGCATCTTGTCCCATCGGGGCCGTAGCGGCTCTGGGGAGGGGCTGCATTCCTCAGCAGAGCCTGGATCTCAGCTAGGGCTTCCTAGTGCCACTGTCACAGGGCTCAACCAGCCACGGGGTGCCCTGCTGACAGTGCCTGGAAGAGGCGTTCTGCGTAGGGCCCCTATTATAGCACCCCCCTGAGAGAGCCACGGGCCCCCAGCTAAACCAGGCAGCCACTGTTGTTATTTAACCCTCCACCATGCAGGCCATCTTTCTCTGCACAGGAAAGGGCTCCCGGTCCCCCTGCAGGGTGAGTGTGAGCCCACTGCAGGGACAGGGGTTCCACCCCAGCGCTGGCGGCAAGCACAGGAGCGCTGCAGAACGCTAGCTAGAGGGGGAGGGGCTGAAGGAGGAACCCGGGGGCACCACGAGCATTTCCGCCTGTAGGACCAGCGCGTCTCCCTGCCGGGCCCAGGGAGCGTGGGGACAGAGCTGTTACTCCCATGGGCAGGGAAGCAGGGACGTAGGTCAAACCGTGCAGATGGAGACTGGAGCAGGGGAGAGGCAGCAGAGAGCTCCGAGACGGCTCTGCCCTTTCCTATTCAATGGCCAGAGGGGGACACTGAGGTGCCCAGAGCAGGAGGGCCTGGGCCACTGGCCCAGAGAGACTCAGGGTCAGAGCTCAGGACACTGGACCACGTCCCGCCTTGCCCGGGGCAGGGAAGAAGCCGCCCAAGGGTCAGGAGAGCAGTGGCGCAGGGCGCTGGAGAGAAAACGCAAAGCGTGGGACTGAAATAAATAAACTGACGAGCAAACGGGCAGGTTGGAAGGGGGTCGGGAGAGGCCAGCAGCCCCGGGGGGCCTAGGAAAGCTAGTTAGTTAAAGGGGGACATCATTTCTGGTCTCCTTGTTTCTTTAGTTTGTCTGTTCCCTGGAGTCAGATCAAAGGCAGGAGGGAGGGTGTCCAAGGAGGGGCAGCGTCTCCTGCTGCAGCAGCTTGGCCAGTCCCAGAATGCACGGCTGCCCAGCACAGACTGCAGAGAATCTGCCTCGCGTGGGCTCGACACTGGGGGCCCCTTAGCTGCTCTCATCCAGCCTGCCATCTGCAGAGCGATTCAGAAGCCCCGGGAGTCCAGCCCGGCGTACACTTCCCGCTGTCCCTTCCTGATGGGCTGTGGGAACAGAAGCAGATGTGAGCACCCAGCTCTTGTGGTAATACAGCTCCGTGCCAGCTCCTGATACATCAGGGCTCTGGGCCAGGGGTGGGCACCTCTCTGCTACCACCAGGTGTGACCTGGGCACAGGTGTGTGCACGGTGCATCCTGCATACTGTGATCCGTCTGTCGCACGGACAAACACCGACCCTTAGGAAGCAGCACGGCCCCGCGCCAGTTACTCCTCCCCTCCACCCCGCCGGGGGAGCCTGGAGTGAACAAAGCCCCTGGTGGAAGGGCACCAGTGCTGTAATTTCTCAGCCCTCCTCCGCAGAGACCGGCGGGCACCCACCCCACGGCTCTCGATGCAGAGAGCCGCGGCTCATCTGCACAGGGCTCCGCTCATCATCCACCGCGAAGGCTGTGACCCCGCCCCCGCCAGCTCTGAAAAGGCCAAGAGAGGAGGACAGCCGCCCCGGGTCCTGTTACCTCATAATCCGGGTTCGGCACAGGCGGGGGACGCACCATCTTCTGGCCTGCAAGGCCAAGGAGAGAGAAAAGTCATGAGAATGCTACCGATGCGGAGCCCAGAGCCGGCGCTCTGCAGGCCCGACTCATCCCTGAGGCTCCATGGGCCTGTCAGGACCCGGACCCCAGGTGTCCACTGACGTGGGAACCCAACTGAGACAGGGAGGTCCTGTGCACCTGGCCTGGAGCGCAGGGCGTTCTCAGACCCGGCGCGCCGGCCCGGAGCCGGGGGGCTCTGCCCCGTGGTGTGGTGACGTGGAGTGCGTCTTAGTGCCCCGCCGGGGCGGTCAAGAGATGACACAAGAGGCTCAGCTTCCGTTTGGAAACAAGGCCGTGTCTGCCCCGCGGCGCTGCAGGGAAAGGCCTGCGGGCCCAGAGCGCAGCCACAGACGACCCCGTTTGTCATTTCCAGAGTCGCCTGGTTCTCAAGCCCGGCCCACCACGACAGCCCGACTCAGGCTGGGGAGTCGTGGATCTTCCCGCTCCCTTTGCCTCTGTCCTGGCTGCCTCACGCCAGCCTGTGTGACTGGTGCCTGCAGCTGGGGCCTGGCAGCTGCTCCTTCCCCACACGAGGGGCAGCCTGGGGGGAGAAGCCTGGGGCAGGCGAGACCCCAGTGTTTCCCAGCCACAGGTGCTTAGCCCCCCTTCCCAAGAGAGAGTCAAACCGGCTCTTACCTCTGGGGTGGCCGCCAGCCCTGCCGCCGCTACCGCCACCACCGCGCCCCTTCCGGTTTTTGCTGAAGTAGTAGGCCAGGACCACTACCCCGAGGGTGATCAGCAGATCTGCGATGATGATCCCGGCCACCGTCAAGGGGTCCAGCTCCACACAGCTCTCGCACACTGCCGTGGGAAGGGACAGTCGGGCGCTCAGCGGGAGGGAGACAGGCCGAGCCGGGGAAGGGAGATGGCGGGAGGCGGGAGTCACAAGCGGTTTTTGCTGAAGTAGTAGGCCAGGACCACTACCCCGAGGGTGATCAGCAGATCTGCGATGATGATCCCGGCCACCGTCAAGGGGTCCAGCTCCACACAGCTCTCGCACACTGCCGTGGGAAGGGACAGTCGGGCGCTCAGCGGGAGGGAGACAGGCCGAGCCGGGGAAGGGAGATGGCGGGAGGCGGGAGTCACAAGTGCCAGCCCAGAGCCACCGGGTTGGCTCTGCCCAGGACTCACCCGCCTGCTTTGCATGGCCAGAGTCCACAGGCCTCGTGAGAGGGGCAAGGAGAGTAAGCGGGGAAGCAAAGAGGGGAGGGCTGGCTGTTCCTGCCTCCACACGGCTCACTCTGCCAACACCACGGGGCCGGCTGGAAGGGCAGGGGCTTAAACGTCCCTGGTTTTTCTGCAGGACCCTTGGCAGCAGGCTGCAAACGGCTGCAGATTCCATGTTCCCCCTCAATCAGTGCCAGAAAGAGCTCAGGGATTCTCGGGGTCCCTCGAGCAGCTCCCCAGACACCCGAGAGTGCACACGGACTCAAGGGGCTTTGTCAGCACAGAGGAGAATTGATCCAGTTTCCCAGTGGCACGAGGGAAGCCAGGCTGAGCCTTCTCCAAGATTCTAGACCTGGAGTCTCCTTTACATTTATACAGCCGCTCCCATCACAAAGCAGCTCCCAAGCTGGGTGTGTAAAGCGCCTTTGAGAAATGCGGCCACCTCTGGGGCTACGTCTACACTCCGGATAAACTCTGCCACGTCCAGAGAATGCATCCGATCTTCCAAATGTTTTTTCAGAAAAGCCTCTTCTGAAAAAAGAATCAGAAAAAGGTACGCAATTTGCAGAGTGCATTTTGTGTCCCTTTTTCCGAAAAAGAAGTGTAGTGTAGACACAGCAGGATGGAGGGCACAGCACAGTGCACCCCACACAACGGAGCAGGGAGAGAGAACTGAACCGCACGTCCCAGGCACACGCGTGCTGTTCTGAACAGTGCTCCATGGGATCTCAGTGTTCATGGGGGGGCCGGCTGGACTGGAGCACTCGTGTGCCAAGGTCAGTCCCAGCGGGGCCCAGGAAAATCAGGCCTCGGCGTATGCTATGGCATGTGGCGCTGGGAGCAATGCAGTACACACAGAGTTAACCGCTAGCCGCTGTCGCCTCCCATGACATCTCAGGTGCCGGCTGATTCCGGTGGAAGGGACACTCTCCCTCTTACCTTTGGCCTTCAGGTAAAGTGTGAAGGTGTCCTTTGAAGATTGACATTGATACTCTCCGTCGTCCTGGGAGCTCTTGTAGTTCTCGATCACACGAGTGCAGTCTGGAGTGACCTTCTCATTATGTGTTATGGTGCAAGAACTCTTGAGGCATGTGAGAGTCACTGTGGTCTTAGAGACCATCACCTGGAACGCTGCAAGTGAGAACCGCAGATACACAGAGGTGTTGAGTACAGCCAGTGGTTAAAATGGCCAAGTCAAGGAGTCCCAGATGCAGCAAAAATGGAACTAACAATGGGGCTGGGTCCCTGAGAGGCTCACTTTGAGCCCTGCCCTGCCTCTCCAAGCGGCTGTGGCAGGGGGGGGGTTTGGTTTAAATTAATAGGTTCAATGTAAAATCTCGTTATCAGCTTGGGGGAGGTTCTGGGGTGCAGCACACCCCACATTCACGAGCAGCAACGGAAAGGAGCCGTCACTAGCTCCATGAGCCACCTGACCACCATTAGTAGTAATAAATGGACTCCGACAACTGGGAATTGTCCGTCTCATGGACGAGCACTTATTTTGTGGGCTATGACATGTGACCAGCTCTGCCCTCAGTCGCTCACAAAGCGCTTTGCACAGATCAGAGTCAGTACCCCTGGTTACAATCAATACTAAGGCAGCTCCACTGACTGCAAAGGGAGCCAGGTGGAGCCCCGTGTGCAGCTATAAAGCTTTCTGCATTGGTACTTGAAAAAAGAAGTAAAGACGTTCCCTGTGATCAACCGCACAGAGACACAGACATGCACTTAGGGGCTGGCTTGCACCCGCTGGGGTCCATGGAGAGACTCCCATTGACTTGGGTGGGCTTTGGTAGCGCGCCCACACTCACACGGGCGCTCAGACCAAGGGGTGGAGGCTGTTAGTGCTCACAGATGCCCCGTTTTTAGATGATCTCTGAGCAGTTAGAAAGGGCAGGGTTCATTTTAGCAGTGTTTTTGAGCTGCTGATTATGGCTAAAAGCATCAATGGTAAAATCAACTTACGTTCCAGTACCTGGTTCTCAGCTGCAAAAGAAAACCAAACAAAAGCTCTTAGTAATTCTATCTGCTGGTGTCAGAAATATTCCCTGTGTGGAGGAAAATCCTCCTTCGTTCATCTGTTTAAATATTTCCTTTCTCTTACTGTTAGCAATCTGCCTTGAGGGAGTGAACACAAAACACTCGTCCATACCAATGCTGCAGGCGGGGGCTGTTTATTCTAGCTGGCAATATTCTAGCCATCAACACTGTTTCTCCACATGCCTCTCTCGTCCTGCCTGGATGGCCCTAAGAGTGGCTATGTAACAATTTTAGCTGGTTTTCCAATTAACGCTGCGCCCGGCTGCCATGTGGAGCTAGAAGAGGGAAACGAGATGCCTGGTGTGGCTGTGAAAAGAAACGCTCTGGCTCATTGCGAGGAGCGAACGATGGCACCGCTACTGTGCCACGCGGAGATGGAGCCTGCTGTGGCTCTGAGCTGGGAGCCGGCAGGGAGAGCTGCAGGGCTCTGTGTGGGTGTACGGATCTGCCTGCTGTAGGACCAGGCCCTTGGGGTAGAAGTGGTTTGATTTGTGAGCATGAGGAAGATCGCGGAAATCCCGAGGCCACAGTCGGGTTAAAACAGCACCAGGGAGATGCTCAGAATCACACACACAGTGCACACGGGGGGCACCAGACAGACGCCGATGAAAGATCTGTGTTCCCCTCTGTCCTGGGCAATTGTCTTGGCCAGCGCTTGCTTTACAGGGCCTGGGAGCGCAGTCTCACGAAGACTTCACAGGTGAAATCCCAAGACAAAGAATTTGATTCCAGGGGAAGGGGATTGGCTGCTCTATTCCGGCACAGAACTATGCTTTAGAGCAAGGGAATGAAGATGCTACATGCAGAAACACAGACAGTTCACAGCCCTGGTCCGAGCCATGGCCTGGCTGCGCCCCCCATATCCCATGTATATGACACAGTGACCAGCTCTGCCCTCAGTTGCTCACAAAGCGCTTCCCACAGATCAGAGTCAATATCCCCCAGTTACAATCAATAAGGCAGCCCCACTGACTGCAAAGGGAGCCAGGTGGAGCCCCGTGTGCAGCTATAAAGCTTTCTGCATTGGTACTTGAAAAAAGAAGTAAAGACGTTCCCTGTGATCAACCGCACAGAGACACAGACATGCACTTAGGGGCTGGCTTGCACCCGCTGGGGTCCATGGAGAGACTCCCATTGACTTGGGTGGGCTCTGGTAGCGCGCCCACACTCACACGGGTGCTCAGACCAAGGGGTGGAGGCTGTTAGTGCTCACAGATGCCCCGTTTTTAGATGATCTCTGAGCAGTTAGAAAGGGCAGGGTTCATTTTAGCAGTGTTTTTGAGCTGCTGATTATGGCTAAAAGCATCAATGGTAAAATCAACTTACGTTCCAGTACCTGGTTCTCAGCTGCAAAAGAAAACCAAACAAAAGCTCTTAGTAATTCTATCTGCTGGTGTCAGAAATATTCCCTGTGTGGAGGAAAATCCTCCTTCGTTCATCTGTTTAAATATTTCCTTTCTCTTACTGTTAGCAATCTGCCTTGAGGGAGTGAACACAAAACACTCGTCCATACCAATGCTGCAGGCGGGGGCTGTTTATTCTAGCTGGCAATATTCTAGCCATCAACACTGTTTCTCCACATGCCTCTCTCGTCCTGCCTGGATGGCCCTAAGAGTGGCTATGTAACAATTTTAGCTGGTTTTCCAATTAACGCTGCGCCCGGCTGCCATGTGGAGCTAGAAGAGGGAAACGAGGTGCCTGGTGTGGCTGTGAAAAGAAACGCTCTGGCTCATTGCGAGGAGCGAACGATGGCACCGCTACTGTGCCACGCGGAGATGGAGCCTGCTGTGGCTCTGAGCTGGGAGCCGGCAGGGAGAGCTGCAGGGCTCTGTGTGGGTGTACGGATCTGCCTGCTGTAGGACCAGGCCCTTGGGGTAGAAGTGGTTTGATTTGTGAGCATGAGGAAGATCGCGGAAATCCCGAGGCCACAGTCGGGTTAAAACAGCACCAGGGAGATGCTCAGAATCACACACACAGTGCACACGGGGGGCACCAGACAGACGCCGATGAAAGATCTGTGTTCCCCTCTGTCCTGGGCAATTGTCTTGGCCAGCGCTTGCTTTACAGGGCCTGGGAGCGCAGTCTCACGAAGACTTCACAGGTGAAATCCCAAGACAAAGAATTTGATTCCAGGGGAAGGGGATTGGCTGCTCTATTCCGGCACAGAACTATGCTTTAGAGCAAGGGAATGAAGATGCTACATGCAGAAACACAGACAGTTCACAGCCCTGGTCCGAGCCATGGCCTGGCTGCGCCCCCCATATCCCATGTATATGACACAGTGACCAGCTCTGCCCTCAGTTGCTCACAAAGCGCTTCCCACAGATCAGAGTCAATATCCCCCAGTTACAATCAATAAGGCAGCCCCACTGACTGCAAAGGGAGCCAGGTGGAGCCCCGTGTGCAGCTATAAAGCTTTCTGCATTGGTACTTGAAAAAAGAAGTAAAGACGTTCCCTGTGATCAACCGCACAGAGACACAGACATGCACTTAGGGGCTGGCTTGCACCCGCTGGGGTCCATGGAGAGACTCCCATTGACTTGGGTGGGCTCTGGTAGCGCGCCCACACTCACACGGGTGCTCAGACCAAGGGGTGGAGGCTGTTAGTGCTCACAGATGCCCCGTTTTTAGATGATCTCTGAGCAGTTAGAAAGGGCAGGGTTCATTTTAGCAGTGTTTTTGAGCTGCTGATTATGGCTAAAAGCATCAATGGTAAAATCAACTTACGTTCCAGTACCTGGTTCTCAGCTGCAAAAGAAAACCAAACAAAAGCTCTTAGTAATTCTATCTGCTGGTGTCAGAAATATTCCCTGTGTGGAGGAAAATCCTCCTTCGTTCATCTGTTTAAATATTTCCTTTCTCTTACTGTTAGCAATCTGCCTTGAGGGAGTGAACACAAAACACTCATCCATACCAATGCTGCAGGCGGGGGCTGTTTATTCTAGCTGGCAATATTCTAGCCATCAACACTGTTTCTCCACATGCCTCTCTCGTCCTGCCTGGATGGCCCTAAGAGTGGCTATGTAACAATTTTAGCTGGTTTTCCAATTAACGCTGCGCCCGGCTGCCATGTGGAGCTAGAAGAGGGAAACGAGATGCCTGGTGTGGCTGTGAAAAGAAACGCTCTGGCTCATTGCGAGGAGCGAACGATGGCACCGCTACTGTGCCACGCGGAGATGGAGCCTGCTGTGGCTCTGAGCTGGGAGCCGGCAGGGAGAGCTGCAGGGCTCTGTGTGGGTGTACGGATCTGCCTGCTGTAGGACCAGGCCCTTGGGGTAGAAGTGGTTTGATTTGTGAGCATGAGGAAGATCGCGGAAATCCCGAGGCCACAGTCGGGTTAAAACAGCACCAGGGAGATGCTCAGAATCACACACACAGTGCACACGGGGGGCACCAGACAGACGCCGATGAAAGATCTGTGTTCCCCTCTGTCCTGGGCAATTGTCTTGGCCAGCGCTTGCTTTACAGGGCCTGGGAGCGCAGTCTCACGAAGACTTCACAGGTGAAATCCCAAGACAAAGAATTTGATTCCAGGGGAAGGGGATTGGCTGCTCTATTCCGGCACAGAACTATGCTTTAGAGCAAGGGAATGAAGATGCTACATGCAGAAACACAGACAGTTCACAGCCCTGGTCCGAGCCATGGCCTGGCTGCGCCCCCCATATCCCATGTATATGACACAGTGACCAGCTCTGCCCTCAGTTGCTCACAAAGCGCTTCCCACAGATCAGAGTCAATATCCCCCAGTTACAATCAATAAGGCAGCCCCACTGACTGCAAAGGGAGCCAGGTGGAGCCCCGTGTGCAGCTATAAAGCTTTCTGCATTGGTACTTGAAAAAAGAAGTAAAGACGTTCCCTGTGATCAACCGCACAGAGACACAGACATGCACTTAGGGGCTGGCTTGCACCCGCTGGGGTCCATGGAGAGACTCCCATTGACTTGGGTGGGCTTTGGTAGCGCGCCCACACTCACACGGGCGCTCAGACCAAGGGGTGGAGGCTGTTAGTGCTCACAGATGCCCCGTTTTTAGATGATCTCTGAGCAGTTAGAAAGGGCAGGGTTCATCTTAGCAGTGTTTTTGAGCTGCTGATTATGGCTAAAAGCATTGATAGTAAAATCAACTTACGTTCCTGTGCCGTGATGCCAGCTGCAAAAGAAAACCAAACAAAAGCTGTTAGTAAATCTATCCACTGGTGTCGGAGATATTCCCTGTGTGGAGGAAAATCCTCCTTCGTTCATCTGTTTAAATATTTCCTTTCCCTTACTGTTAACGCGCTGCCTGGAGGGAGCGAACACAAAACACTCGTCCATACCAATGCTGCTTTTAACGTCAAACAGCTGGGTGCCCGGCAGAGTTTGGAAAAGTGTCACAGCCACATTTGTGTTTTAAATCCATCACAGCAAACGTCCCCATTCTAGAAACTGATGGGACGGGGATCAAGGCGGGAAATGGTGTCGGCTGCTAAAGAAACCCTTCAAAACCGGGCACTTGCTCTACTCCCTCGGCCCCTACCTAGAGATCTGTAATTCCGTCTGTCCCCTGCTGCCCCCGGTTTTTGATTTTATAACCAAAATGAAAACTCCTGCATTTAGGTGAAAGTGCATCCCTTCTCTCTTCCCCGTACCGTCAGTCGGTTCCTACCCTGTTCCTTTTGTACCACAAATCAGC